ATAAGCAGCTGAAGCTGTTTCTTCAGGTGAACTGTGGGAAACTGTTGTGTGTGCACAGGGCAGTGGATTCACTGGACTAACACCAACTTCTGCTGCATGGGCATCAGCAGATTAGCCAACAGGTTAAAGAGCATGAGAATCACAGACAGCTGCACACATCTGTCACGAACCGAATGAATAAGTGGAAGAATAAACTCATAGTCAGGTGCATTATTCAACAGAAGAGCAGTTTTATGGAGGAGATTCAAACCCAGGCTATAAACAGGTTTATTTCTGCTGTAAAGTTGGCTGGTTTCACACGGGGACTGGTTCACTTTTAAAGCCACTTGAGGGACAGACCGTGTGTTTTGGCTCTTCTTGCTGAAGTAATCTTTGATTCATCATAGTTACTGTTTCTCAAACGTCAGGCCAGCAGGATGTTTGAGAAACAGAGTGTGTGAAACTGCCTCAGCGTGCAGCCCGTGGGTTACAGAGTCCGGCCTTGTGGTGGACACATCTTCCCCTGTGAGCAACAGATTGTTCCATCTTTATTCAATTATGCTTCACCTCTTGTAGGACTTAGGACACAGGACTCTCATTGATTACTAATGGAGATGTTTTCCTGCCTATTTAGTGCACAATGTCCAAAGTCTCCCTTTTGTTTCTGACCACAGTTGTTCTTTATAGCCACAGAAAAGAGAGAAAAGAGGATTCTCTGTTCAAAGTGGAAAATTGTTGAAGGGGAATGTCATTCAGCAGAGCTCGGTCCATGCAGTCGACCGTGGACCTCTGCACAGAGAGCCCGCTGTGCTGCAGCTTCCTGCTAACTGACGGTCTTAGCACTTTCTCTGCCCTTGTCTCACACACACACACATGCACACACATGCACAAAGACAAACACACAAGCTTGTGCAAGAGCGCGTCTGCAGTGTGTCGGTGGTCACCGTGTGTGCACGACCACCAGCTGCTGTTGAACACACTGCAGCTCCTGCTGCGTTCAGGACATTTGAATCATTGACTAATCAAAGTAAACGATGGCGTATCGTCACGTGTCTCCACACGTTGCTCTGAGCAGCGCGGGTCGTTGAGGACTGTTTAGTCAGACTGGAGTAAGGTGTGGATTTGTTCCCCGCAGCGTCACATTAAGCAGCAGTGTAATAAAAGAGCGCGGTCGGGCCGACACTGTGGCTCACTCATGTGTTTGATTTGTTTTTGCTCACAATGAAGTTTAATGGCACAAAGAGAGAATCTACATGTAGGTGATGTAAATGCAGCACCTCTCACTGCTGCACAGTCTGCACATGTGCAGAGCTGCACGCACTTTGTTTTAATGACCATATCTCAAACTGCATGCTCCTCTGCAACGTAATGTGTCTGCTTTATTACAGGAAGCATCATTAGAGTTATTATGACTAATATTTCTATTATTTCTTTTTAGTTGGGCTTTACAGAGGAAGTTGTTCCCAACATGTTTCCTTTGCTTCATGTGGGAAAAAGAAAAAATCTGCAGATTTTGGTTCAAAGTTCAGTCGATTTGTGTCTCTTGTTAGTGTTGTTACTCATTATTTAAGGAAAGATGCAGAACCATCATGTTGATAAGGAAACCTTTCACTATAGATGGAATATAAAGCAATCATTTATCGAGCCCACATATGTGAGAAAGGTTTACAGGCTGATCGTGGAGAGCTCATTTATGTTTAGAAAGATTTCATCTGTCTCAGTTTGCAGCATCTCCTGCAGCATCACACCTCAGGACCACGTATAGAAATGAACTACGTCACGTCTGGTGCAGTAAATGTTCTGTGATAAGCAGAAGCAAATGCATGCATGCTTCATTTCCTTTCCTTGCTGGTTTGCAGGTACCCCCCCTGCCAGTGGGACAGGCACCCTTCAGATTTACCTGACTGACATCAATGACAATGCGCCTCACGTGTTCCCGCCGGAGGTGGAAATGTGTGAGAGGCCGGAGCCCAACGCTCTCAACCTCACAGCCAGCGACCCCGACCTGAGTCCCAATGCTGGGCCCTTCGCCTTCGAGCTGGCCAATCGTCCCTCAGATGTTCGTCGCAACTGGACTCTGCATCGCCTCAACGGTCAGTGCTGCATAATGTTTCCGTTTTTCACTTTCATCAGCTAATAACCGTCTGAGGGAGGAATCCAGGATTTCAAGTCATGCAAATCCCTCAGTGTCAGTCACAGATCCTGAGATGATGACAGCATCACTTTCCAATGAGCTAATTCATTTGCTCTTTCAGTGCCCTGATGGTCCAGTTGTCTCTCTACATGTGATAGTGAGGCCCAGTAAAGGTCCAGTAAAGGTCCAGTAAATCAGAGCGGCAGTGTGATGTTAGTCAGGCTGGAGTCACAGAGATGTCAGCCCTGCTCGGGGTTTGAAGGCTGGCGTTAGATGATGTAACACTGATGTAAATTATGATGCAGCCTGGTCGCTGGTCAGGTGGAGCTCCTCCTCCTGCAGAGCTTGATCTCTCTACACCTGCTCTGCCTCTTCTTGACTCGTGTCATTCCTGAGCTGTATGAAAACATCTGTAACAGCTCATTGAGGAAAACTTCACAGTGTGGGCTCTTTTAGTTTTTATGCTCTTGTCGCTCACACATTTACACTTTGTGAGAAACAGACAGTAGTGATGTGGACCGACTCCAGCTGCAGTCCTTGTGTTGCTCTGCAGCTTTTCCACCTACTACAAACTCTACAGAGTCACCAGCTGAGTGCATCACTGTGGAGTCAGAGTTCATCTGACAGCTGGACAGGAAGCTCTGGAGTTCAGCACAACAGTGACCTGCTCAGCGAACAGGGAGGAGATGTGAGACAGGAAGAACCGGGCTGGTTAGCAGCTCTAAACCAAACTAAAGCATTTCAAAGTAAACTTGTTCTCTCCACCCACGTGTCTGTGCAGCTCACGGAGCATCACAGAGGGTCAGGTTGTTTGTGTTATATTAACGCCAACATTAGCTCGCTCTGTCGTAGCACATGTTGGTGGTAACATGATGAAAGCTTGGCAAATTCAAACAGACTTGAAACAACTCTATAAATAGAAACCTGTTGTATGTGATGTGTGGGTGAAGCTTGAACAGACCTGTCTATAATTAATGCACTCATCAGGCTCTGGACCAGCGAACATCAATACAGTTTGTGCAGCGATTAAAACTCTTGTGACACATTTGAGGTATAAAACGAGCGTTTCATCTTTTCAAACATGCCGTAGTTTATCAGATACTTTCGATTCACACATTAAACTGTCCGTTAGCTCTGCTGTCAGACCATTTGGTCTCTGTTAAGAAACACAATATAAAGAGGAAAAATCATCATCTTTCTCCTCTTAGCTAAGAGCTGCATCTCACAGCCCCTGTGCTGCACTCTGAATCAAATGTGTGGAGAGCACTTGCACTTTGTGGCAGGCACTATTTAGAAATAAACATTTTATTCTCCTTTTGACTGAAGTCGTTCAGTAACACGGCACTAAACGAGTTCAAGCCTTGGGTGAACTCGTATCCTTGTAAAAGGAAGATGGAGGAAACTCTTCTCTTTATTTGTTGAGGAAAGTTTTTTGCAAAGGAAAAAAGTAAAAACATTTGTTGTTAGTTTGTTACCACAGTTGGAAACATTTCCTGTAACCACCTCCAGGAGTCGTGACAGTGACTCATCTGTATCTGTGTCATCGCAGGTGAGCACGCCCAGCTCCGACTGCGGATAGGTTTCCTGGCCAGTGGGCTCTACGAGGTTCCCATCACAATAACAGACTCGGGCAACTTGCCCATGTCCAACACGTCCTACCTGAGGGTCAAGGTGTGTCAGTGTGATCACCATGGAGACTGCGTGGACATGGAGCGCATCATCGCAGCTGGACTGGGCACCGGAGCGATCATCGCCATCCTCATCTGCATCATCATCCTGTTAGGTGAGCCCTCACACACACACACACACGCACACACGCACACACACACACACACACACACACTTCTCTGCCGATAAAAAAATAATATCTTAATAAAAATGACCCCCCTATTCTTTCCAGCTCTCTTCACAGTGGCTCTCATTTTGACGGCTAATTCCGGTGTTTTCATTTCAGAGGCACGAGCTTAATTCTAATGCATATTAGCGCATTACAAGAGGGGGCCGGGGCGGGGTGGGGGGTATCTGCGGTGGCAGCCCACACGCACGCACTCACACACACACTCACACATCATACTGACACAAGGGGATAAAACATGTAAGCTCTCCCAACCCCACAGTTCCAACCGCAGTCAAAAAAAAAGAAAGCGGGAAGAGTCTGCTGAGTGATAGCTTCTGCACAGTTTCCGCATGTTAGTGCTTCTTTAATGCACTGACACCGTTAGCCTCGTGCCCTTAAGTGCTCCATAAGAAGTGCAGCTTGACTAACGCTGCTCTGCACCTCCATCGAAGCTCAGAGGGGAGCGCAGCACACCGAGGTCAGAGCCGGGGCGCTCGTGCGATCGATGCTAACGTGATTAGTGACATGCTAGTGTTCAACCGGGGGGGCCACGTTCGCACCCGGT